CCGTTGAAGGCTGGGGATTAGCCAAAAATCCTAAAGTCAACGCCTAACACGCGTCGCCGGGTAGTCTATTCCCGTGAGAAAGACGAAGTCTACGTATTCAATATCGTAGCACTAAGAGCGTTAACTCTCTTAGCACGACGTCATATGCGGAACGGATTTAGATAATCCGCATACTAGCCCGACTCAAACGGTAGTCGGTAAAGGCTTATCAAATCCGTTGATGGCTGAGGATTTGCCAAAAATTCTACAAATGCAAGTCATTGACGTACCAGCTCCATTAGTTGGTCTCGTGACTTGAGCATCCAACAACTTCAGGACAAAATCCACAAATGCAGATGAATCAGCTTTAACAGTTGGTCCTGCAGCTCCGACACCTGGAACCACCGTGCTCCAATACCTTAAGAGCTTAAACTGTGTATACTCCAGCAAACGTACGAGTATAAACTGTGTTAATGGCGATCCGTAAACCCTAGGGTCAACGCCGGTCAACACGTAACCCTAGGTCAACGCCAGTCAACGCGTTGCAACCAAAGTCAACGTTCGACGATTTAAAACCCTAAGGCGGACGCCGGTCAACGCGTAACCTTAGGTCAACGCCGGACAGCGCGTTGCACAAAAGTCAACACGTGACGACGAAAGTCAACACGTAGCAACAAAAAGCCAACCCACGCGGTTCAAAACCCTAAGGTGGACGCCGGTCAACGCGTAACTTTAGGTCAACGCCGGTCAACGCGTAACCTTAGGTCAACGCCGGACAACGCGTTGCAACAAAAAAGTCAACCCACGCGGTTCAAAACCCTAAGGCGGACGCCGATCAACGCGTAACCTTAGGTCAACGCCGGACAGCGCGTTGCGACAAAAAGTCAACCCCCAGTGATTCAAAACCCCAGGTCAACACGATGTGACAGGGATATCAAGTTCAAAAGTCAACTCAATGACACGAGCCAAACTCAATTCATCAGCTGCAGACTCGAGACTCCAACGACGGCCAGGCGATAAACGCAGCGCCGGAACAATCTCGGTTATTCGACAAAGCACCGAATAAACCGAAGATCGAAGGAGCCGAGAGTTGAGGCAAACCACAGGTCCCTTATGCCGACTGAAGGCTGGACCAATCATATCCAAAGTATTCCGGTCTCTTCTACAAAAGAAACGAGTCCGAAACACTTTGGAGGGGGTATCTGTAGGCATCAAAAATTGCCGATAGGTCCCCACTCACAGCTCGGTATTAACGATCGACGATTGAACGTCACTACCCGGTTCACAAGAATTCCAACGACGTCGGTAAGCGCCTGAAGCGAACCGACGGATTACATGAGCCGACAGAATGTCAGAATCACAGGGATACGGGTTGACCGAAAACCCCACGATCACCGCATTTGGACCAACGCCCGCCGTGTCCCGACCGCCCCACTGATAATCCAATCAGCGGGGCCCACAGAGCCCGTCGCCAAGATTCCAACGCATCCGAAATCACTCAAATCCGAGTTGGGACGGCGAATCAACGGCAAACACACCCGGAAGGCCTCGGACCAGACTGAGACACCCGGGGGGATCCCGGCCAGGACGAAACACCCGAAGGGGGTCTTGGCGAAGCCAAGACACCCCAGGTGTCTCGGCCAGGCCGAGACACCCCAAGGGGTGTCTCGGCCTTGGCCGAGACACCCCCAAGGGGGTGTCTCGGCCTTGGCCGAGACACCCCTAGGGGTGTCTCGGCCAC